AGCATGCATAAATCTTGAATAAATCAAATATCAATTACATAGGCAGTATCTGCTGACATCTGCTTTCATCAAATAATATATTTGAAATAGGTGTTATTCTAATTTGTGGAAGTCAAAAGGATCTTCGTTCAGGGAACACAGACCCTAGACCCCAACGAGGAAAGCAGCTGAGCGGTGCTGGGAGGGCTTCTCGGTGGCCCTCAGTTTCAATCTGTGAAGACTCCGTTTAGACGGCTGTACAGAGATCCAGAGGGAAAGCTGTCTTGCAGAGGAAAGTGCTTCCAGCAACATGCCATTTTCATCTGGGAATTTTTTAAATGAAGCAGGAGAGATGGCGGGGAGAAGGGAGGAACACTTCTCAGGTGTCTAGCTGTCAGGGGCAGAACGTCTAGCTGGCATTTGAGGGGGTGTAGGGTGAGTATCATGGTCCCAGAAGGCACGATGCCCTCCAATGCGCGGAAATGAGGATGGTTTATGAGTGTGAAGGCCCCCAAAACTGAGAGGTTGTGAGGACGGGGTCCAGGACTCCCTCGAGGAGAAGCAGGGGAGGGAGCAGGGGAGGTGGACTGATACCTTTACGGAGCGCCAGGCGCTGGGCAAGATCCCAGGTGAGAAATGTCACCGCCCTTCCTCACCCCTACAACCTCCCAAAGCGGGGAGCTGTTTCAATTTCTTATCATCTGAGGGATGTGAAGTCAAATAACACACCTAGGGCCACCAGCTCTGAAATGGCACAGCAGGGTTCTAGTCTGGTTCTGTCTGATTAGGCTGCATGTGGTTACGGTGGTGGTCATGGTAGTGGGGGGGTGTGTGTGTAAAAGAATGTGTGTGCCTGGGGCAGGGGCTAGGAAAGGAGGCGTGGAGAATATGTATTTTTATTTGAAAGGCACTCAGTGTGTTTACATCCTCCATCAAGACAGAGGAGGGATGTCTCCCCTCTATCACGTCTTTCCTTGTGGCCTTCCATCAGCAGGTTAGCGTCCCTTCTCTCTGAGCAGTTTTACAAGACTCCTTTGGGGCCTCTTCAGGAACTTTCTAGGGTTAGACTCATTCTCTGGGAGGGTGGAGCTGGGTTAGGAAATGTTCTCTAGGGCACTGGCTCATCCTGACAGGGAGCGACGATTGCCTCATATATACTCAATGGGCCAAGAAGGAGCCAAGACCAGAAATGAAATAAGCTCAAGTCGTGCACCTGGAGCCGAACGGAGGCCTCTGCTGAGGGCGGAGATGGTGCTTCAGAGGGGCGGGTGAAGGATTTCACAAAGTGCCTGTCCCAACCTGAACGTGCCAGCCTATCAAAGCACCTGGAGTCCTCTTACCATTTCTTTTATCATGCTTGGCATCAAAAGAAAGTAAGAAAACCCAAAAGCAGGCTGCCAGAGCTGGGCCATCCGGGACCCCTTAGGTTTACATTTTCAAAGCAGAGGTAGGTGGGAGTCAAGGCCATCTCTTTTTGGTCCAAGGATCCCATGAGATGATTCAGAGGAAGCACTTCAAGGAAGCTGGGTAGAAACAGCTCTCAGATTTCACGAGGCCTCAGCAGCCCTGCATTCCGAGCTGCACCACATCAGACCTGCCGGGCCCCCTGACCACACATTTCTCCCTTTCTGCACTCTGCTTTCTATATCAGAACCTGCACTGGGATATTGAGAACACTCGGTTGTCGACAGATAAGTAAAAACTGATGTGGTATCACCACAGGGATGAGCAGATCTTTTCAGGGTTGTAGACACACGTGTAATTGTACAGTATATTACATATAGATACAGAGACTGAGTTGTTTGAAAATATTTCTAGCATTTCAAACATAACTCTTGGATTACTTTTCTTGGTATCCATAGGGATTGTGGGTTTGGTTTGGTTTGGTTCTGTTGGATTTTCTGATCAACATCGTGGAGGATTTACAAGGGCATCATCAGATAGTCCGCCTAACTCAGATTAGACAAAAGGCATCATCTTAGTAAAGGAGGCCACAAAATTACTTTCCAACAATCACGCAATTCTGACCAAAACGGTATTAACAAATATCGACAAATTAAAGATAAGCTCAGGTCTACCTCCCTTTTGCATCAGTGCCCCCCCAAACACCCCGGCACACATGCTGCCAGCACAGAGCAGCACGTGGGCTGGTGGGAGGAGAGGGAAGAGGGGAGAGGGCAATCCTCCTCTCCTTGGGCCCACCCTCTATACAGTTTTCTCTACAATTTTATTTCGCTCGCTTGGGAGCAGCACATCCCGTGCCCTGGGCCAACAGGAAATCAAAAGAGAGTTACCGGGGCAGCTAAAGACTTCCCAGTTCAATTCAGAACCAGCTGGATTAACCAGGAAGAGAGTGAGGGAGTGATGGGGCGCACCTCCGTTCCCACCAGTCCACAGTCCTGGTGGGGACTTCTCTGAGCTCAAAGGAAGAAACACTGCATTCATTAGCTTTCTGTCTTAAATCCGTGCCTTTGCACACCCATCCACTAGTGAGGAGAACAGGGCAGGCCCTGGATGGTGGGTGGCCAGCGCTGGCACGTAACCATCAGCTGGAGATGCTGAAGCAGCAGCTGGAAACAGCTGTTCACATAATGCATCGGTTTTAGGGAGAGGGGAAAGGGAAAACAGAAGGAAGACAGCACACAGGCGTGTTTTGTGCTGTGTGTGCACGTGTGTGTGTACAGCACGAGAAGGACAGAAGATCTCACACCATTTGTGGTTGTTGATTTTAGCCACCGCCACAAATAAGAATCCAATCAGAAAGACTGCCTTTGGAGAAAGTGGATTCTAAGGCCTCTGTATAAATATTTATATTTATTTGCCATTTGTAGTTGGCCCTCCTGAGAAGCTGACCCTTGGAATGGAAAATGGGATGTGAATGGCTTTGAATGGTGGCTCTGCTGGCGTTAAGGATGAGTCCCCATGGTGGTGTCACTGGCAATGCTGTCGCTGATTGCAGTCTGTGTGAAAAAACAGAAACTTAAATGACAGTTTGTATTTTTTAAAAATCACAGTTGAGATGAAAAAAGAACACACTGATGTAAAAATGTACTGCAAGTCTGAAAAGATCATTGATAGACAAGACTCTCTCACTCACTCATTCATCACATGCAGCAAATACTGTAAGAAATGTTTTCTGACCGTTTGCTCTCTTCCAGGCCAGAGGCTGAGGATGTAGGAGCTGCAAGTCAGAAGTCGCATCATCCCAATAAACACGTCATGGGTAAGTAACCGGGGACGCAGATCCTGCATATTTCTGTGATTAGACGATGAGCAGAGCAAGAGCCATGTGTAGAAGGTGTCAGTCTAGGACCTTATTCTCAACTTTCTGGTTCTGCAATCAACTAACGAGCGTGATTTCTGAACAGGCCACTCAGCCTCGCCTTTTAGCATTCCTAACTAGAGGGGCTGGACTCTCTGGTCCCCAAATGTCAACGATGTGGAAATCCTTTCTTAAGAAGCCTACTGATTTTCGTAAGATGTAGGAATATCAGTTAGTTTTGCAGGAAAAGAAGGATGAAGCCACCACTAATCAAGGGAGCAAAGTTGGCACAATTTCGGTTGTTTACATCTGTGTCTTGTTAGGAAAGTCTGCCTGTCACCCACTGCATGTTGTTCTGTCTCTGTGTTTGTCTGCCTCGGTGAGGTCAGAGGATGGCCACCCCTCAAACTCCTTTGATCCTCTATCACCATATCCAATCAGCCCACCTCGTGGGTGAGGACTTGGGAGTGAGAAGAGGACAAATTCTGCTGATGTGTAGATGTGCGTGTCGTTCACCAAAGATTCCCACACACACATCTGCATTTTGCAATAATCCCCCTGGCGATTCCATAGCTCAGATTTTGCTGTTGTTCCAACCCATAGTCAACACAGAACTGCACACACACACACCATCCACATTTAAAATTTGGGTTTCAAAACTCATACTCAGTTTTTCCCCTAGGCAGCACAGATTTCATTTCAACATCTTACCAGAACCTTAGCAAGCTTTCAACACAACAGGGTCATTTAGGAATAACTGTAGGAGCGTGTGTGAATGGGCCAAGAGCGCTGGTGATGCACACATGGAATAAGAATAAGAAAGCCCACATTCTGCTTGTTTGCTTTACCTCATACACGCTGGAGCTCAGTGGCATTTTGTCTGTTTGAGCAGGAAGCAAGTTGCACTCTTGGTTTTCTAGGAAATATTTACACCAGAAATCCTACCCACCTCCCAGCATCTCAAGAAATCAACGTGCAAATTTCCTTGGTCTCAGCTCCTTTATGCAGAGCTCACGTAGCTCACCAACCCTTCTCTCCCAGTACTCCCTGCTCCTGACTGACAACACTTGGCTGGTTTGTTTCCAGGCCTCGGTGAAGAACACTGAGCTCACTGATGTGCTCCCTGCACATCCTCTGGGAAGAAAACAGATCGGAAAAACAGAGCTGTGAGTCTGAAGTCTTGGGTGCTTTTCAAATGTGGCTAATTTTCTTCTGGGCCCCTTGGGAGCTGGATGATTATCCAACCACTCAGACTAAAGCGCGAGCGCTGCTCAGCTGGCAGAAGCCTTGGAGCGCCGTCTCATTGTATGGAGATGCCATTTGTGAAGAGGCAGAACCCAGACCAATGGCACCTTGGCCGAGGGAGTTCGATCATCAATAGTGTTCATCTGCTCTCTGAATACTTTGACGTATTGAACTTTTCTGGTACCAAAAGCACATGGACTAGATTCTCCAGTCAAGGAGGCTCTCTTGGGGCATGTCCTTGTGGCTGTGAGACAGTAGTCTGACCAACCAGTTTGACTCTGGGTCTTCGTTACCAACCCCTACAAAATATGCTCCCCATTCAGTTGACATCCTTCAGGCTGATGATTAAGAATGATGAGCTCTGTAGAAAACCAGTGTTTCCACTTAACTTACTCATTCCAGGCAATGTTTCCTGAAGCCTGAGCCAAAAGCCATCTGCATCAAAATCATATGTGGGGGACACACTTGTTAAAAAGTTCAACCAAGTCATTAATCAAGAAATCAATTTTTTGTGAGACTAAGATTTGAGAACAAGATATAGTCTCTGTTTATTTCAGGGACAAAAAAAAAAAAACTATCTACACCATTTGTAGATGGCATTTGTTTCAGATTCCTTCCCCAGTCCATGCATTCATTCATTCGTGAAAAAATCGTTTGTTGACTCCCTGCCAGAGAAAGGACAGAGTCAAAATGCTGAGTTTGTCCACCAGCAGTCCCAGCATTCAAAGGCTGTGTGTTCTTGTTACTCAGTCTTTCGAGCACTATTTAACCATCATAGGTCTTGGTTTTATCATTTGTGAAATGAGTGAAATAACAGAAGCTGCCTCATAGGATTGTTGTAAAGATTAACAAGTGAAAACATATGAACTGCTTAGAACAATGGCTGGCACGTGGTTAGCGCTCTATGAGTGTTCACGTCCATCGTCACCATCACCATCACCATCACCATCACCATCATCACCAGTGCTGTTGTGATTCCAGGTTTGGAGAACATACAACAGATAGGACTGGACCTCCTTCCTCCAAAGGTGCACAGTCTGGCTAGAGAAAGCCTGCAGGTAAACAGTGCAAAAGGAGGAGAGAGTTGCTGTAATGGGGAAAAGTGCCACCAACTCGGATTAGAAGAGTCTGGAGAGGGAAGGAAGGAGGATTCTGAGCTGGGTTTTGGAAACCTGGGGGGCATCTTCCAGGCAGACAAGGGGTAAAGTGGGTCTGGGCTGAAGGAAGTGCCTCTCTGGTTTGTAGTCCTGGTGTTGGCCTCACTCCCTTCTGTTCATTTGAAGCCTTTCTCTGCTCTGCACTGACTCTTGGCTGCGAGCTTCGGACTCTTCTAGTCAACTAAGTCCTTGAGAACTTTCCTGGGGGCCTCCCGGGGCACTGCTGAGCTCGGGGAGCAGAGCCACATTCCCAGCGAGGGTGGTGTGGCCTAGAAATGGGGAGAGGCAGCGGTGTCTTCCCAAGAAAGTGGTGAAACCGATTGCATTAGAGGCTGGGTAAGCTTCCTCCAAGAGAGCAAACAGAAAAAAAGAAAATGAAACATTTTTTCTCTCTCTTATGTCTACACACCCAGTCCCACCGCCCCTGGGCAAAGCAGTGTATCCCAGCCCTGCTGCCGGCCCTCCTACCAGATAATCAGAGCTCTTTGAAAATGATGCCAAGTGGAAACTTTTCCTTGTCACTTGTGATTCACAGCATTTTAGCATGAGAGGGTGCCTATTTATAACATCTCTTTGTCTACTACCCTTTTCACCGTGCCCACCTTTGGAAAGTAAAAGTGGAGGTCTATCGCTGGCTTCACTCACTGGCAGAGGCTGCTTGGAAATGGCTGTGTTTTGATACGCCAAACTTTACCTCCAGCCCGGCTCATCTGGGCGAGGGTGGGAAATGAAAGGTCTGGACCAGGGGAGGACCGCGGGGATGATGAGAGCAACAAGAGCATCCCTGGCTGCTGGGGTGATTCCACCGAAACCCACCCTGGAGCCAAGAGGCACCACACGCTCCCACCTCCTCCTCCGTATTCTCAACTCCTGTGCATTTCCTGTGTCCTAAATAAAAAAAGAACGGTGTTGAGAAGCAGTGGGTTATTTCCAGCTCAGTCCATGTCCACTAGAGGTTTCCCTCGTTGGCTTCTCTTTCTGACACGGCCTTTCTGTATGTTTTGGGTTCAGTTTAGCCCAGACGAAGCAGGCGGCTGGCTGAACAAGGATCAGGAAGTGGGACACACGTGGAAAAGGGGGGTGGCTTCCAATAAAAATGGACCACACTGCAGCTGTGGCCTAGGCCCCACCCTGCCTGAAATGGCAATTGAACGCTTACCTGGGTTTTGTATTCAGGCCGTTGGAATCCAGGTTATTGAATCACTTTTGAGAACCGACTCAAATTCAGAGTCATCAGCCCTTTGGCATGTTCTCCTGGCAAAACTGTTCAGTGAAGACCTTTAAAAATCTAGAGACCTAAAAAAAAAATCACTGGAGTCATGTTTACAGCAAAACTTCTACCTCCTATTCTTTACAATAACAGCCTCAAATTGTTATTGTTTGTTAAATACTTGTTGGATTCCCTTTTCATTCCTCCCATAAGGGTTAGTTTGGGTTTCGTCTCGGGTACTGTCCACTCTGTCTTTGTGCTGGAGAAAAATCAGTGCTCATTTCATCCAAGATGTTATAGAGATGGAAGACTCACCATTAGCCTTGTTCTCAAGGAAGTTCCAAACTAAAACATTAAAAATATGATGAGTTTGGGCAAAATGCCCATCCACAGCTCTCTGAGAACCGTATCTGGGCATATGAGATACCTGATTTTTAGCCCAAGGAAACACCATCTGAGAAACATACAGTATCACAATCTGGCTACATTTTTTGTTCCCTTTTCCATCAGTCTGGGATAAATTGTGTGTGTCAAGTTTGGCAAGCGTGGGTGAGCGAAATGGAGCTGTTAGCTGTCTTTTCAACATATTTATCTGTTTCATTGCCTGCTCGAGGATGTCTGTGATCTTTACATAGGCATCCCAGATAATAGACCATTCGAAATCTTACTTCAATTAAAACTTAATCCTCAGCTGTCAATAATAGTGTTATATACAGAAGATTACAATGCAAGTAGTGTCTTTTGTGCAAATCATTAAAACAACCACCATGAAAAGCAAGAAGAAGAAATAGCCTGGACATACTCCAAAGCAAGATGCTTGATACTGTCTCAGGAACCTTTGTTGCCCTGATTAAGTGAGGGTTATATTTCAATATCCTCTGCCAACTGACAGTCACATAAGATTTACAAGAAAAAAAAATCACGTAACAGTTATCTTCCCACTTTATATTCACTCACTATTATTGTTTATTTTATGTGAGACAATGTGACTGTAAAAGATGCTTTTATTTTACAAAATGAAGACTACAATACAAGATTCTAAGGGATTCAGGCTTCTCATTCATATTGTGCACAAACACATCCAAAAGATTCCAGAAAATATAAAATAACAGAATATATTTTTTTGGTGGAGGGACTGTTAAATAGGGAGGGATTGGAGTGAAAAAGATTTTTTAGCAAACCATGAGCTCGGAAGAACATTCTGTCCATTGCAATGCATCAGGTAACCCATTTCACCAAATAAATGTTTTGGGAAGGTGATGGTGATGTTGATGAAATTTCTTCTTATACCTGTTTTATAGTATCAGTGGGATTGAAGAAGTTCTCTATAGTTTATTCATCAATAAAATGTGTTTGCTATTTTTGGCATCCATTTTCCATTCCTTTTATTAATAGTGCTCCAATTTTGGTCTGGGTATGTATTCCTTCAGTGCAAGCGGCCCCATCTCCAGTCCAAGAAGTTATACGTGATTAGTTTATGCCAATCAGTGTACTCAGTCCCAGAGGCCACAGTGATTGGGTCAGGATGGGCTTGTGGCACAGTGTTCCCAGGGAGATGTCAGGAGACTGTCAGAGTTACTGCTTGTAGGCAAGAACCCCCTAGCCTTCTTCCATAGACACTGCCTAAAGAGAATCTCTCTGCCTTTTGGTAATGTTTAATGTGTCTGTAAAGCCAAAAATTACTGCAACACCTTCTTGCCCTGAAGAATGAAGTCTCCAAAGGGAGGAGAGTAGAATGGAGTGAATTATAGAAAAACACGAGCAGAGTCTTCACCAGTATACACTTGGATCACGTTTTGCCTCTGAACCAATTATGAACCAGTTACATGAGCCGATAAACTTCCTTTATCCTTTAAGTCAACTTGAGCTGAGTTCTCTGTCATCTGTAACCACATTCTGACTAGTAATGCACAGCACTGGCGGTGTGCTTACTATCAGCAGATCACTACTGTCAGAGCCTCAGAGCTATTTTACTTCATCTTCACAATGATCCTTTGAATGCTCTTAAAGGGCACTGCTACCATCCCCATTGTAAAGAGGCGAAATTTGAGTCACAAATTAAGTAACTTGCAAGAAATTTTGAACAGATGGTAAGAGTCAAAACCAGGGTCAAGCCTGGGCGGTCTGAACCCAGAATCCATGCCCTTAACCACTATGCCACAGAATCCCATTATACATAAATATATACGTGTGTGTGTGTGTAGCCTTTCAGCTAATGTGCCAGACACTGTGCTAAGCACCAAAGGTATAATGCCTGCCCTCATGGAACTCACTTCTAATGGTAGGAACAAAGAATAAACAGATAAATAAATATAAGACTCAGTGTCAGGTAGTTGTAAATGTTACCAAGAAAATTAAAGCAGGGTAAAGAGACTTCCCAAAGAAGGCTGTAAAAATGATTACTAAGGAACATGTAATGCATATTCATCAGTGTAATTAAGTTAGATTTTTCCAAGGGCAAAAGATGAGGTGGGCAGGTGGAGAATCACTCCATTTTAATTCACAAACAGACAGCACAAGTCCAAGCCGATCAGTCACATCACGTCACTGATGCATTTTCTGTCTCTGTCACACCCAGTGTGGACATCAGGAAACCTGGAGTTCTCAGGATGGGAGAAGGGAAACTGTAACAGATGACAGTCCATCAAGGGTGTAAGCCTCCAGATGACCATGGCCAGAGCCCCTCAGATAATCAGTTACCATCTCTGCAGGAGAGGGGAGGGGTCCAGATGCCAGATCCACAACCAGAGCCAAAGGTCAGCAAGTGACCCTTGTCAGGAACTGTCAGACAAACAGGAGACCTGGGGACAGGGATTGGGGTTGGGTAGCCACGTATGAGTTGTCCAGGAAAAGTCACAGAAGCAAGGCAACAGCCAATGCCAAATGCAGTATGACTTTGAGCAAGACAGTATGTGGACTTCAGATCCTTTTATACGACCAGGATCAGGAACCAGTGTCTGAACCTGTAAGACGCTGTTGTCATCAATTGGCGTTTAAGAGAAATACCTCTGGAAAAGCTTTTGATTCTGTTTAGGTATGAATGATGGGCTGAAAGACATTCTCTACACTGGTTTATAGAAAACAACAATTAATACTATCAACAATGAATAAGAGCAAATAAACAATCAGCAAATAGCTTACCAATCAGTAGAACTTACTGTATCTTTGAATCTTATTCTAATTAAATACGCTTTAAAAGAGATTAATGATTATAGTTACTAATAGGTTAGTAAGACTATGAAAAATGAAGCATGATCAGTCTCTTCCAATTAACCCTATATTCGATATACTTGCCTCTTCAGACCACAGAGCCCTAAGCAAGGCACCAAAGCACCTTCTCCAAGTTGCAAAGGACCCAAAGGGACATTGAAATTCCGCGGAAA